TTTACATGGGCTTGTTGGCCCAAAGTGTATCTTCTTTGGAGAAACGTCTATTCAAGTCTTTTGTCCGTTTTTTAGATTGTATTGTTTGTCTTTTCATTGTTGTAACAGTTCTTTATACATTCTAATTCATACTAGATCCTTTTCAAATATATGATTTGCAATAGTTTTCTCTCATTCTGTAGGCTGTCTCATTTTCTTGATAATGTCCTTTGATGTGCAAGTTTCTAATTTTGATGAAGTCCAGTTTATCTATTTTGTTGTTGTTGCTCATGCTTTTGGTGTCATATCTAAGAATCCTTTGCCAAATCCAATGTTATAAAGATTTTCCCTTATGTTTTCTTCTACATGTTTTATAGTTTTAGCTCCTGTGTTTAGGTTGATCCATTTTGAGTTGGTTTTTGTATATGGTATGATGTAGGGGGTCCAACTTCATTCTTTTGCATGTGACTATCCGTTTGTCCCAGCATCATTTGTTAAGGAGACTATTCTTTCCTCCACTGAATAATCTTGACACCCTTTCTGAAAATAAACTGGCTGTAGATTTATGGGTTTATTTCTGGATTCTCAAGCCTATTCCATTGGCATATACGTCTGTCCTTATGCCAGTAGCACACTGTTTTGATTTTGATTTTGTTTTGTAGTAAGTTTTAAAATTGGAAAGCGTGACTCCTTCAACTTTGTTCTTTTTCAATATTGTTTTGAGATGATCATATGATTTTTACTATTTTGCTTGTTAATATGGTGGATAATGTGGGCCTTGCATCCCTAGAATAAACCTGACTTGATCATAATATATAATTCTTCTTATAAACTGCTAAAACTTTGTTATGGATTTTTGTGTTTCTGTGCATGAGAAATATTAGTCTGTAGTCTTCTTTGTACATTCTTCATCTTTGCTGTCAGGGTAACACAGTGAGTTGGAAAGTGTCCCCTCCTCTTCTATTTTCTGAAGAGATTATGTAGAATTGGTGCTAATTCTTCTTTAAACAACTGGTATAATTCTAGTGAAACTGTCTGAGTCTGGAGTTTTCATTTTCTGGAGTTTTTTTTTTTAATTATGAACTTAATTCCTTTAATAAGTATATTGGGTAAATTTTGGTAGTTTGTGCTTTTAGAATAATTGGCCCATTTCATCTAATTTCCAAATTCGCGTGGGTAGAGATGCTTTTAGTATTTCCTTATTATTCTTTACATGTCTACAGAATCAGTAGTAATATTCTCTTTTTCATTCCAATATTGGTAATTTGTGTTTTCCCTCTTTTCCTTTTGTTAGTCTTTCTAGATGCTTGTGAATTATATATATTTTTTCTAAGAACCACCTTTTTTCCACTGGGCTTCATTTTTTTCTGTTTTCAATATAATTTTAATATCTGTATCTATTCTTTATATTCCCTTCCTTCTGTTTGTTTTGGGTTTATTTTGCTCTTCTTTTTCTTGGTATCTTATTTGGAAACATATTGTTTTTAGGCTTCTCCTGCATTTCTATTGTAAGACTTTAGTACTGTAAATTTCCCTCTAGCTTTACCTGTGTCCTACAAATTTTGATATATTGTATTTTTGTTTTCATTCAGTTCAATGTATTTTTATAAAGTAGTCTCCATGCCCAGCGTGGATCTTGAACAAGTGACCCTGAGATCAAGACCTGAGCTGAGACTGAGACTTCAGACACTTAACCAACTGAGCCACCCACACAGTCCAGTAAAATGTATTCTTAAAATTTCTCTTGAGACCTCTTCTTTGACTCATAGATTTTTTTAGTGTGTTGTTTAGTTTAGTTTAGAGATTTTCCTATTGTCTTTCTGTTGTTGTTCCCTAATTTGATCCCATTATAGTCAGAGAAAACACCATGTATTATCTCGATTCTTTAAATGTCTGTGGATTGGTTTGTTGTCCAGAATATGTCTATCTTGGTATATATTCCTTGGGTGCTTGAAAAGAATGTAAATTTTACTGTTTTTTGGTGGAGTGTTCCGTAAATGTCAATTAGATCCTGTTAGATGATGATGTTGTTGAGTTCTTTGTATTGATTTTCTGTCTAGTTCTATCAGTTGTTGAGAGAAGAAGTCTCCACTATAAACGAGAATTTTTCTATTTCTCCTTTCAGTTCTTTTGATTTTTGCTTCATATGTCATGCAGTTCTGTTGTTTGGTGTGTGTACAATTAGGATTACTATGTCTTCTTGGTGGATTGACCCTTTGATCATTATGTAATGCCCCTCTCCGTCTCTGGTAATTTTCTTTGTTCTGAAGTTTACTTTATCTGCTAATACCAGAGCTACCCCATTACTATTTTTTTATTAACATTTGCATGATATATCTTTTTTCACCTTTTACTTTCAACCTGTTCACATCATTATATTTGAAATGAGCATCTCATAGACAGCATGTAGTTTTGTCATGTTGTTGTTTCACTCTGCCAATGTCTGTCTTGTAATTGGCAGATTTAGATCATTTTCATTTTTTAAAAAATATTTTGTTTGAGAGAGAGAGAGAGAGAGAGAGAGAGCGCGCGCGCACAAGTGGGGGGAGGGGCAGAGGGAGAGGGACAAGCAGGCTCCCTGCTGAGCAGGGATTCCAATGCAGGGCTTGATCCCAGGACCCTGAGACATGACCTGAGCTCAAGTCAGACGCTTAAACAACTGAGCCACCCAGGCACCCCTGGATCATTTTCATTTTAATGAACTTACTGGTAGTTAATGCTTAAGTCTACCAATTTATTTTTATTTTGTTTGTTCTGTTTTTGTTTCTTTATTTTCTTTGTCCTGACTTCCTATAGGTTACTTGAACATTTTTTGAAATTCCATTTGATGATTCATGTATAGTGTTTTCACATGCATCTTTTTGTATGCCGTTTTTAGTGGTTACTCTAGGTATTGTATCATACACACATAACTTGTAATAGTCTACTGATGTCAATATTTTACCAGTTTGAGTGAAGTATGGAAACCTTACTTCTCTTTCCACCTCTTTACCCTCCCCTGTTTATAATGTAATTGTGTTAAATATTTCTTCCACATAACATTTAGAACCATAACATGCAATGTTATAATTGGTGCTTCAACCATCAGACATAATTTAGAAAACTTGAGAGAAAGAAAGTCTATTATATTTACCCATATTTTTTTCTTTCCATTGTTCATTCTTCCCTGGTGGTGTCCAAAATTCCTAAACACCACAGGAAAACTTCTTTGATCACTTCCTTTCTGATTAGAGAACATCCTTTCTCCATCCTCCTAGGAATGGTCTGTTACTAACAAATCCTTTTAGCTTTCCTTTATCTCAGAGTATCTTGATTGCCCTTTCATACCTGAAGCATATTTTCACTGGGTATAAGATTCTGGGTTGACAGTTCTCTTATTTCAGCACTTATTTAGATCTTGTGTTTTAGCTGACTTCCTCGGACAATGCTTTGGCAGGGAATGGAGCACCATCTCATTTCTGCCAGGTTCCCCACTTAGCCTTCATTGACACCGAGGAGGTTGGGGTGCCTCATTACTCCTGGGTAGTAGTGATAGTTCTAGCTCCCTACTAGGCTTTCACTGATACTGTCCTGGCTGGGATCGGTAGGAGTGCCTCATTGCTGTTCCCCTTGTGATCTCCATGGACATTGACAATGATGGGACGTGGACTCATTACCACTGTGCAGAGCAAAGGTCCTGACTCTCTCTTAGGCCTCCTCTGATACCACCCTAGGGGGGACAGGGAGAAATAAATCATTGCTGCTGGGTAGGGGTGGAGTCTAGGCCCCCACTTGGCCCCTGATGTTGGGACTTGATGGGACCACAAGTTTTCCTGTGGTGATTAGCTGAATTAGAGCAGTTCTTGTATAAAAGTTTTCTGCCTTGGTGGGCTGCCCCTTTCCTGGCCCTTTAGCTAAAGAGAGTAGGCTTTTGTCGGGAACTTTTCGTCAGTGCCCATTGGCATTTTGGGGTTGCCAGCTTCCTCGGGTCCGTGTCTGAGATCTATGAGGCAAAAACCCAGAGAACTCACCACCACATTGTTCCTCAGGTCCCAAGGTCCCTTCTTCTCTCCACTTTCCAGGGTCTTCTTATGTTGATTTTATATATAATGTCCAGAGGTTTTAGTTGTACTCAGTGGGAAAATGGGAAGGGTACGTTTCCATTTTCCCACAGGCAGAAGTCTGGACCTTGACATTTTTGTGCCCGATTCTGTACTGCCAAGGGGATTTCCAAGAAGGAGAGCTTCTCTCACATATGAATGCCTTAACAGAGCTCTTATTTCATGTCTACATCACGAAAGACAAAAAGAAATGAAACAAAATAAAATGAAAAAAGCTTTACTTGGTTTAGCACGGGTCTGCTTATCTGTCATGGAGGGCATACACTGGGGTAGACATGATCACCATCTGCTTGGTTAGTTTTGTGTAAACCAGTACACCAGGGTTTCCTGAGCCCCTTCCAACACCCATTGCTTCCTTCCACTGACTGTCAGGTTATAAACTGTTAGTCAGCTTGCTTGGCTGGGTGCTAATGGGAGCAAAGCTGGGAGCTGCTCCTTCAGTGGGCCATAAGGCTTACTCTGCTAGAGCCGTGGGGGTCTTAAGCCATTACCTGATCCAACCACCATGGTTTTCACATACGAAAATTATGTCAGAGAACAGAAGAGTCTTTCCCCAGATCTCACTGCCTACCACACGCACAAAAAAGCCAGACCTAAGATCCCCGTTCCCTGCCTTCAAGCCTAGTGTTATTTTAGTTACGTCAGGCTGCTTCTCCACCCATCCTTCCACTCTCCAGTGAATTCTGCTCTACACCATAGCCAGGGACTGCCACCTCATCCCAGCCAACGGCTTCACAGAAGTGCCCCTCACCCCTGGGGGTGGGAAGGGGTTCAGTGAGGGTGGTGGGGTGGGGAGAGAGACATGAAAGGGAATGTGGCTGACTCCCAACACACCTGTCCTCAGAGTGAAAGTCTGTGATTCACGGGGTCAATGGTCTCATCTTCATATCTGAAAGACAGTGTACTTTTTGTCTCCCTAAGCCCTGTGTCTAGGTCGTTTGGGAAGCGCCTTGGAGAGTCAAGAATAAAATTGCAGGTCAAACAATGGATGACTGGAAAAGTCGGCTTGTAATCAAGAGCATGGTTCCCCATTTCGCCATGGTGGGAAATCGTCAGGAGCCCAGAAAGCTCCAGGAATCGGTCAGACAATGGGCTATTGGGGGGAGGGGGGTGTTGAATGCTTCTAATCTTAAACTTGAACATAAGATGTGTTATTGAAATTCGCTATGCAAACTTGTTGGCAGGGAACCAACCCAAAATGTAAGAAACTAGAATCTGACCTAGAAAAGATGTAGGAGATGAGCTGACCTTGCCCCTTATGAATTTCTGGAAGAGCAGGAAATACAGTGCAAGGATGCATCCCGATTCCCAGTCTAGTGATCTCTACGCTGCACCCCTTCAAGTAGAAAGAAAGGGAGAGTGCAAGGGAAGAAAAGCCTTCTTTTTCTCTCGACAGAAACCAGGAATGTGGAACTGACAGACACTAGATATATTGCATTAGCTTCCTGGTACCACTGAGAACAGGAAGCCAGTGAGTAGGGCACAGAAAGAGATTCCCATTCAAACTCTCTCTGGCTCTGGTGTTTTAAAAAACCCACTTGACAAATTTCTCCTTTCCTTCCTTGGAACCCAAACCTCATCTATGTGTCTGAAACTAAGGGCTAGGGTTTCCAGCGGTAGTTCTAGGAGCCAGGACAATAGATGGGACCACGAGAGCCGCTGGCTAGTTGAATTTGACATTAAAAGCCTGCAACATCACCAGTCTACCAGGGTTAACTCCGTTAGTGCGAGTCACAGCAAACACAATGGTTGTTATCTCAGTGTATTGGGTCCACAGAGGAGTGGCTTACTTAATCTCTGAAATTAATACAGCAGAGAGGAAATGGCTCTTATAGAGCCGCGGGTCTGCTTCCTTCCTGTTCAGAGAACTGGGAGCTCGGGGCTCTGAGGTAATGTCATTTCACATAACTAGAGGGCTGGCCTCTCCCATGCCAAGGGCGATCCACTTTCAGTAAGTGCACAGGTGTGGGGGGCGATTGTTGAAATCTTGCCTCTCTGTTCCTCCTCACTATCTACCACCAACAGTGTATTGAGAACGAGGTATCCAGTTGAGTACATAGACATCTACAGACCGTAAGTCTCCGCTCACAGAGATGGTAGTCAGATGGGAGGGCCGACATGGAACCACCACTTGGCCAGCCGCCTGTCCTTCACATTGCCAGCCCTTCATACAGGCATCTTGTAGAAGGCAATCTCTAACCTCCAGCTCAATTACCCTTTAGATTTCTTTTTTCTTAAGATTTTATTTCTTTATTTGACAGAGAGAGACACAGCAAAAGCAGGAACACAAGCCGGGGAGGGGGAGAGGGAGAAGCAGGCTTCCCGCCGAGCAGGGAGCCCGATGCGGGGCTCGATCCCAGGACCCTGGGACCATGACCTGAGCCGAAGGCAGACGCTTAATGACTGAGCCACCCAGCTGCCCCTACCCTTTAGATTTCTTGCTTCTCCTTTATGGTCAACAACTGAGTCAGTGAAAGAAAACTTTTTGGTGATGCATCCAGAGTCCAGATTCATTTGGGCGTGGCTTGCAATTTCTCCTCTGTTTCACACTGGGTTTTGCTCCTATAGGAGGAACGGGTGGGTTGTAGTTGCAAGGGTCCTCTTCCCCTTCTCCTCCTGAGCAACCCCCCCAACACCCTTTTAAAAGAGTGTGACTGGCAAGTAACTGCTTTGTTTTTGATCAGTGTAGACCTCAATGCCAGAAAGGTTTTCTTAGAATAGGCCCTTGGAACAGCCATCCGTGCCTTCACTTAGGAGAAGTGGCCATTGCTCACACCATTTCTGGGCTTGGCATTTCCTTGCAGATGGCCTTATAGAGCCCTTTTTAAGCCTTGCCAAAAAATTCACGTTTATTGCTTTAGAGTCACATCTTGGACTTGATCAAAATCAGTCCTTCTCCTTCCTCCGTGGTACACCTTGTTCTCTGCCCTTGGCTCTGAGTTACCTGTTTCCAAAACTCTAAGCTGTCCTAGAAGACCAAGGATTTGCCCCAGTTGAGGGGATCCAAAAAAATATGCCTCAGGCTCCAAAAGCAACTCTCCCAGATGAGTCTCCTTCGCAGTAAAAAGCACATGTGTCTTCTTGGAAGATGCATGTGGTCTCTGCAAGGGATGACATGGAAGGAGCCCGCTCCTCTGGCTGGCCTGCTGGGCCTGCGTGGAGTCTGGCCAAGCTGGGTGCTGTTGCCACCATCGGCCCACAGTGAGGGCACCTCTTGGTTTGAGCACAGCTGGATTTTCGTGGTCGTTAAATCTCTGCCGCCTCAGGAAGCTACCCGATGCTAATGTGGAGCTCAGCTGCACACACCGAGGATCTCAGCAGCCCGGGTGTTTGTGGCCTGAGGGACAGAGACAGACAGATCAAATGCAGAAGGGCCTGCCGGTTCACCATGAAACCTGCTGTGCAGACGAGTTATTGCAAAGCCCAGAATGTGAGGGGCTGGCGTCTTTCACGTGGAGATCTGATCAAGATGCTCAGCTTACCTGCTTCTCTCATCCTTTCCCAAAAAGCAAACTAACAGCAGCAGCAACAAAAACATGTTTCAAGTGAAGTTCCGTTAAAAAAATCCTATCAGTCTCAAAGGAGAAGCCTTTTAAATAGCCCTGAGCTATTTCATGTGAATAACTGAGAGCCCCCTTGCAGGAAATGTACATCCTAAGACCATCCTAAGGGCTCAAGGCACCTGGATTCTAGTCTTGCTTCTGCTACCTAAATGGCTCTGGGACTTTGTCCATCCTTTGCCCTCCCCGAGGGCAAAAGTCAAATGAACCAGGAGTAAGAATAGCCACCTTTAATTGAGCGCTGACTAGGAGCATTATCTCCCATAATCTGTAGGATAATCCCGACAAAGAGGCTATCTCCAGGAAACTGAGGCTCAGTGCACACATCAGGCAGGAGTAGTCATCATAAGGGAGCTCAGCGGCACAAACACCTCTTCAGTATTCGCTCCTTCATTCAGCAGCGTGATTGCTTAATGACACTCAAGATCTGGAGAAAAGCAGAGTTTTACCTTTTGAACATTGGGGCACCTCCCCCAAGGTTAATAAGGCATCTAGTCTCTGCTGTCAGCATATGGAGTTTCAACAGGAGGCAGAATGTTTGGTCCTTCCCTTTGAAGTTAAGCTCTCCATTCCTCCCCCAGACCGGAGGGTTGATTGATTACTAGTGTGAGAATCTCTAAAACATCACGTCACCTCTGCCTCAGTCGCCACCCACTGCAGGTGCAAAGATGCCCCAGCTCTGAGCAGCCACTTGGTCCATTCATAGAGCAGCTCCAGACCAAATGGGGGCATTCAGGGCACACGGTTGGAGAAGGAAGGAGACACTGCTCATTGCCCATCTTCTGTGCTTTGTCATGTAATGATACTAAATGGCGCGCTATAGGTGACGGTGAGTTGGCATGCCCAGTAGCCCTCCTGAATTTTCCAACCATTCTCCCTCTTTATGGATGAGGACACTAAGGCCTGAGAAATCCGGTGACTTGCAGGAAGATTCCCATCAAGAAGGTGGGGAGTTACATCAAGAGCCCTCATTTGGGTGGCCCCAAGCGCAGCCTGCTTTCCGCCCACAGACTGGCCAAAACCAACCGCTCACTACTTCTACTACAACTACTACTACTACTTCTACTACTACTAATACCACGACTACTTCTACTACTA